CAACAAAACATACGAGACAACGTGCAGAATGTTGGAAATACTTCACTACACAAGAGAAAATTGACGCTGGAGGTAAGAAAATAAAATTAGCTACATGTATATATTGTAAAAAAGTTTTGGCCGCAAATTCTATAAGTGAAACTTGACACTTGAGATATCACAGACTTAAATGCGCTAGACTACATCAAGGCAGGACGGAGCCTACACAAACTCAACTTCAATTAAATCCGGATGGTTCGGTAAGTACTTGGTCCTATAATCCTTAAGTTGCTAGGGAATCTTTATGTCAATTTAAGTCTGCTTTAGATTTACCTATTAACCTTGGTGATAACCTACATTATGAAGTGCATATTGTCCTCAATTTCAAAAAGTTTCTAAAACTACTACTAGGAGTGATATGATTGCATACTATGAGAAAATGCGTCTTGCATTAATAGCTGAAATGGGTGCATTAAAATTTTCAATTGCATTAACCTCTGATATTTGGAGTGGTAGGGCCAATTAAGATTATTTGAGCGTAGTTGCACATTATTTAGACTCTAAATGAAATATGCAAAAAAGAATTATTAGTTTTAGACTTATTGATTGTTCACATAATGCTGACAATATTGTTGAGAGACTTGTTAGTGTTATTTTAGATTTTGGTATACGAGACCGCATTATCTCTATCACCTTAGATAATGCTACAGCTAATGCAAGGGCGATATCAATGTTGGAGGGACTTATAAACTCATATAGTGGTGGAGTTTTACTTCATCAAAAGTGTGCATGCCATATAATTAACCTCATTGTCAAATCAGGTATGCATATGGTAAGTTCTACAATTGATAATATTCGAAATGCCATTTTTTGGATTCATAATTCAAACCCCCACATTGCTGAGTTTAAGAGGTATTGTAAAGCAGAAGGTATGAAGCCTAGAAAGTTTGGTCTTGACATGCCTGTTAGGTGGAATTCAACATATATGATGTTGAAGAGTACTTTGCCATATAAAAATATTATCATTATTTTTTCAATTCAAAAATGGGCAAAACAATGTTGCAGGAAGATGACTGGTTTATTTGCGAACGATTTGTGTCTTTTTTAGAGGTTTTTTATGATTCTACTGTTTTATTATCTGGTATTTATTATCTTACTTCTCCATTAGTGTTCATCAAATTTGTGAGATTACAGACTTATTTGAAACATATAGAAATGATATGTTATTTAAATCGATAGTAGAAAAAATGGAAGTAAAGTTTAGGAAATATTGGTATGAAATTCCTTTGTTGTATTGTTTAGCTATTATTTTAGATCCTAGAGTAAAATTATCCGGTCTTGGAAATGTTCTTTCTCATATCGGTGGCCAGTTGGACATAGATTATACTTCACAAGTTGTTAACACACGTGAGAAGTTGTTTGAGATTTATGCAATTTATGAGAACAAGTTCGGTAACTTGACAACTCAACAAACGCAACAAGATCAGCCGGCCCGCTCAAAAAAGAAGTTTTGGAATTTTACATCTTCTCATCGTGGTGGCTCTAGTTCGTCATCAACTGCGACTCCGAGTGTCATGCCACCACCATCAACACTAACGACGACACATTATAGGGAGCTCAACAAATACCTTGAGACATAATTCTCGGTGATAGATGGTGATGATAATGATGACAATTTCCAAATTTTGGCATGGTGGAGGCTACAAGGTGTAAGATTTTTAGTACTTTCAATATTAGCACGTGATATCTTGACTATTCCAGTATCAACGGTGTCTTCAGAATCTGTCTTTAGCATAGCTGGGAGGATAATTGAAGAAAGCAGGACTTCGTTGACTCCATAAATGGTTGAGGTGCTAATATGTCTAAAAGATTGGGAAAATGCTTCTTTGCGAATGCAACACACAGCCGAAGACAGTGATTTAATGAATCAATTTCAAAACTTATACATTGACGATGACGCTTCTGATGCCGGGAGTAGTGTAGCAGACAGTTAGATATTTTTGTTTCTTAAGTATATATAAATTGTAATTGTGAAAATAATACTGCACTCTTTTTTCCTTACTAAGGTTTTATCCTAATGAATTTTTCTTGGTAAGGTTTTTAATGAGGCAGTTATAATTACATAAATAAAATCTTATTCTATTAAAATTTTACAATATTCACTATTTATTATAAATTTCATTTTTTTAAAATTTTTTTATAAATCATGCTCGGGCCGGCCCGGCCCTAGGCCTGTCGGGCCTTAGGGTTGGGCTGGGCTTATATAAAATTATTTAGGACCGGGCTGGCCCGAACTACACTTTTGGGCCACCGGACAGCCCAAATTTTCAGCTATAATTGTAACCTTATTCTACGAGTGATTCCCGAGTGATAACACAATTTATAGGATTTTACATGGTGAAAACTGAATTAGAATCTTACTCCAAAGATATAAACAATCCATAGATGATTATCGTACGGATAGCTTAGCTAGGGGATCGTATAGGAAAGACAGGGAACAGATTCTTTTTATCTTCTTTGAGACTTGTTTATTCTATTATGTAATACACAGCTACAAAGAATCATAACAATATTTATACAAAATAAATGTTTTATTTTATCTATTTATTAAGCATGTACGAAGGAATTTGAATGCTTCAGTGGTCAATCCAATGAGTTTGATCGTACTGAATCCCGAAATCCAAATGAGTTTGGGCATCCTTGTATTGTTTGCGTTATGAACACCGGTTTGGTTCTGAAATTCAAACAAAAATTCAAATTTTTGTAAAAAAAAAAAAAAAAAAAAAGTGTAGCAAAAGTATTTTAATTGTAATTGAAATTATAAAAAAAGGGATTAAATTTTTTGTGTACATGTTATAATATAAGTTTCAGAACTACGTAACATAAATCATCGGTAACAGAACAACAAAATTTAGTGCTACATAATTCAAAATTTAGGGATATCTCTCATTATTTTGTAGTCTTGGTCTGGCTTCAAACAAGACAATAGCATTGCAAATTTGCAATTATCTCCAAAAAACGGAAAAAGAAAACGTTGAAGTAATTAATGTAGTTTTCTGACATGTTCAACTTCTTGCCTTCAAGCCAAATAACAACCAAATATATTATGATTGAATGTCCCTAACGTCTACCCTGGAGAGCAATAAGAAAAACAGGAATAAATAGAACATGTATAAAATTTATAGTGATTTACTTTTAATGTAAGAGGTAAGTCTACTTACCAATATTGAATTTCCTTATAATTTGAGTACATATACTAAGTCTAATAATCTCTCATGATGCTTCTTTTAGTCCTTTTGTTTTTCTCTGCTGCAAACGACGGTCTTAAAAGTCCCAGAAATATTACGAGAATTAGAATAAATCAACGTACGTGTACCATGTATGACACTTAAAATAACCCCAAAAATTTGTAATATTACAATATAATTAAGCTTTACGCAACTTTAATATAAAAGTGTAGATTGGAGAAAAAGTCCATTTTGCCTCATGCATCTTCTGATTGTAATTCACGCTTAATTGAATAGCAAGCAGCCCCACAGTGTACACTCGTAACTCAGAGATCATCCCACTCACTATGTATCGTCATCATTCCTTCTGACTTTATGGTGTTCATCAGCTTTTTTTTTTTTTTTTTTTTTTTTCTTTTTTTCTGGCCCTTTCTCAGACAAGTTTCTTTTATCTTGACAAAATAAATCTGGCACTAATGACAATGAAGAAACAAAAGAAAAAGCACCACTGCTGGAACTTGTGGGATGGGAATCTGGGGTTAGCACTTTTGGAAAAGGCAGTAACAAACGTGAATTAGGGACCTACATACAGAATAGAGTACTACTACCACAGGCATCATTTGTCAATTTTCATGTTGTAACTTATTATGGTTATTACTTCCTTATACGCGCATTTCATTATGTTAACACCAATGAAATGATCAAACCAAAATCAACTTCCGTATCTTTTGCTGGAAGATTCAAACCATGATTTGAATCATAGTTCATGATTCGTTACAGTGTATTCTCTCACAAAAAATACACGTAAATCGAAAATAATTTCAATCACATGATTCTAATCCATGAACCAAACGACTCTACTCGAATTGGTATCTTGTCGAATATCACACTCTAAGATTTTGTTCGTTTCGCAGATTCTAATTTTCAACTTAAGTTGAGATGTGACTGTAGCAGAAAAAGTTAGATATAATATTTTCTGAGAATTTTTAACTGTAAAAACTTAAAACTGAAAACTCGAATCGGTGAAATGAACAAGGCCTAACTAATTCAATGTTACGTAGTCAGTATGTATCATAGAGATGTTTCGCTGTAATGCTGAAGTGATTTTATCTCTTTTTAAAATTGAAACTTTTCTTGATTCTCTATTTCACGTCTGTTTTTACCCCGTTGTAAAAGAATTTAATAAAACGGTCGTGGAATGGATCTTTTGTTGTTGTTGTGATTACGAAGGATTATTTTACTATATATTTAATTAGATCTGTTTAAATATGATTATGAGCAAATGCATGTTAAATATACTCCTGAAAGATGAGTGGGTATCAAATGTCATGTTTGCAAGACCTATCAAGTTCTTAATTTCTTTGAAATTTCTCCGTTTGAAATTAGATTTGAACATATGCACAATTTTTCACTTTATAATGCGTTTAGACATTGCTTAAAACATAAGAAGAGAAAAGATCAAATTGCAGACACAAAAACTTGCAATTGCAAATATTTTTTATTTTACTTTTAAAGAGTGCTCATCAGACATGCATAAAGAAAGCTTCCATCATCACAAACATTCGTGGTCTGCTGTTCAACTTGACAAGAACTTTTTCTTTTTTCAAGAAAAAACAGAAAATGAACAAAGTCAGGGAAAGTGGATAAAGCAATCAATCCAATGTTTCAGCAAAAGAAAAAAATTTCAACAGGAAATTATATATGCCTCACGTGGATTGAATGATTCCCCATGCGTAAAGTTTAACAAAATGCAAAATCTTGTCCCGGCATCTTTGCATTCCAGAACCACTCAACACCAAAAATATATTCTTTCTTTTCTTTTCTTTTCTTCTTCAGATAGAATTGAGCACTAAAGAGAAGAATTATGACAAGAAAAAAGATTTTCTTATTTTACTCTCGTTACTTTCTAGCACTGTGTAATTAATTAGTGCTGCAACAGGTGCATGATTGGGTTATAAAACTGCAGAAACTGCAATATTGCTCAGTAAAGTATAGGAAAACTCTAAAGCCCCTTCTTTCTGTTTTTGGATAATTATTAGCTGGTGAATATGAAACCAAGGAACTTGAAATATTGTGCAAGAAAGAGCCACTTACTTTTGGTTCTTGCTCTATTTTTCTTTCAACACCACTTCCATTTATCACTTGTTGAGGCCAAACGTAGTGTGAGTGTATAACCTCATATATGTAAAGATATGTACATATACATACACACACACATATATATATATGTATGTATTTATGCAAGTTTCTGTCTCTTTGTTTCGACATAGATATTAAGAAATGAATATGTTTGTAGGTTCACATTGTGTACTTGGGAGGGAAGAAGTATGATAATCCAGAAACTACAAAAAAATCCCACCACATATTGCTATCAAACTTGTTAGGCAGGTACTAGTTTGCTTTTATTATTTATTTTTTTACCCTACTTATTCCTGTGATTTTCATGCAGGGGTTATAATTAGCAAAGGAATCATATTTCTTCTTCTTGATCTTTTTGTGTTTGTAAAATGAAGCAAAGAAGTTGCGAGGAGGTCTATTGTCTACAGCTATAGACACGGTTTTTCGGGTTTTGCTGCGAGATTAACAGAAGCTGAGGCAGAAGCTATTGCTGGTATATTGTAATTTGACAGACACTAATTACAAAACTTGAGCTATACATGATTTTGGCACTACTAATATTGGAAAAATTGCAGAGTTTCCTGAAGTTGTCCAAGTGATTCCGAACCGAATTTACAAGCTCCATACGACCAGAAGCTGGGACTTCATTGGAATTCATCATCATTCTCCGAAAAATGCCTTGACAAAGAACATGGGTAAAGGAACTATCATTGGTGTAATAGACTCAGGTAATACTTTTTCTTTGCCTTTTGTGATAAACATATCACTATCTGGAGTGTGTTCTATGAATCAAACTGATTGAAATCTCTGCAGGTGTTTGGCCAGAGTCCGAAAGCTTTAACGACGAGGGGATGCCTCCAACCCCGTCTCAGTGGAGAGGAATCTGTCAGCAGGGGGAGCAGTTCAACTCCACAAACTGCAACAAGAAAATCATCGGTGCTCGCTGGTTTGTAAAAGGATTGATGGAAGAGATTAAAAGGCCTATAAACATAACAGAAGCTGGGGAATTTCTATCTCCAAGAGATGGAAACGGCCACGGCACTCACACAGCTTCAACTGCAGGCGGCTATTTTGTGAAGCAGGCGAGCTATAGCGGCCTGGCTGCAGGCCTAGCCAGAGGAGGAGCCCCGCTCGCTCACTTGGCTATCTACAAGGCCTGCTGGGGCGTCGGAGGCTGCACAAACGCCGACCTCCTGAAAGCATTCGACAAAGCCATACACGATGGAGTGGACGTCCTATCTGTCTCCATTGGCAATGAGGTTCCTTTGTTCTCCTACGTTGATCACCGTGATGCAATCGCAATTGGGTCCTTCCATGCGACCGCAAAGGGGATTACGGTTGTTTCTTCTGCCGGAAACAATGGCCCCACCTCACAAACCGTTTCGAACACTGCACCATGGCTCATCACTGTAGCAGCCACCACAATAGACCGAGCTTTTCCAACAGCCATTACACTTGGAAACAACAATACTCTCTGGGTAAATTCATCCATCAATTTTGAGTACATCCCAACTAAGTTTATTCCAATAACTTTTGTATAACTTTTGCTTTGTTGCAGGGCCAATCTCTTGATACTGGAAGCCACAACCATGTATTCGCCAGCATTACTTACTCCGAGCGCATATCTGTGAACTCCATTGATGCTTCCTCGTAAGATATCTCTTTCTTTTCAAGATTGAAATATTTTAGAGTGCATTTTGTAGGTTGCATTAGCCTAAGCTACATTAAAGCATAGTAGACTTTAATACGAAATTCAAAATCAATACATTAGGAGTTTAGATCTATTGTCCTGTTTTAATATCTTATTAATCGTCTTCTAATATTATTTTAACAACTCATTTAATTACTTAGTAATTTTAGTATTTTGTATTTATTATATGGCCAAATTTTTAAATCTATATGATATGGCAAAAAAATTTTAAATAAATAGTCAATTAGACAAAAAATTCGAGACAACGTATCTGAACTCATATAATACGTATAATTTTTTTTTAAGACTCAAATATTCTTTTTCTTTTCTTCTTTGTTCTCTCTCACTTATATTTGTTACAATGTTGATGCCTTTCAAGCAAGGATTGTGAGTATGGATCTCTTAATGAGACATTAGCAGCAGGGAAAATAGTGGTCTGTTTCTCAAACATAGATGATCAGCAGGACATAGCTTCAGCAGCAAATGCTGTGAAGGAAGCAGGAGGGGTTGGCCTCATATTTGCACAGTTTCACAATGATGGACTTCAATCTTGTGATATTCCATGTGTTAAAGTGGACTATGAAGTGGGGACACAAATACTTTCCTACATAAGAAGAGCAAGGTAATTAGGAAGTAAATAAGACTACCCTGTGACTAAAGAAAACTGTTCGAGAACACCACTGGTGCTAAACACCGTCACAAATAGAAGTTGAGTCCTACTTATAAACTGCATATTATATGACTCACCTTTTATTTGTGGATCGCGTTCAGCGCCACCGATGTTTTATGGCAATTTTGTAGCCAAAATACACTTTTACACTAACCTTTTTCTTAATTATTTTTAATTTTTATGAAGGTCTCCAACTGCAAAGTTGAGTCCTCCAACAACTGTTATAGGCAAATGGATGTCCCCACGAGTTGCAACTTTCTCATCCAGAGGACCTAGTTCCCTGACCCCAGCAGTTCTAAAGGTAAAGCCAGGAAGCTAAAAATTCGAATCTACAGGCAGGGATTATTATTTCACTTTACTCACTGTTTGTCTTACTTAAGTGTGCTTTAACAACTGTTGTTTTACTCTGAAAAGGTGGGTTCTACATAAAATAAAGGGTTATGGACTACTATTGCAAATAGTTATTGAATTTAATAAAATGCGGCGAAGTACCCTCAAATTCATCATTCAAAATTTTTAGTCTCTCCAAGTTTTGACCACCGTCGTTGATTTAGAAACACTCTGTAATATTGTATTAAATTCTAAGATTAATTTATTAAAATTAAAAGTTAAAGTGTAACCTATATTCAAATTATGAACAAGTTTAGAAAGAAAAAAAGAATTCTAAATTCTCTTAAATAAAATATATTACAAATTGACAATATTCTCTTCTCTATACCAACTTCGCCATTGTCTTAATTTCATGTTCTCTTGGTATTTACCTCTTTTTCCGATGGATGTAGCCTGACGTGGCAGCCCCAGGAGTGGACATATTAGCTGCATTTCCACCATCAGACACAAAAAACCCAAGAAAAGGTTGTTACACACTGTTATCAGGAACTTCAATGGCGTGTCCCCACGTGGCAGGAATAACAGCTCTCATCAAATCTGTTCACCCGGATTGGTCTCCTGCAGCCATAAGATCGGCTCTTGCCACCACTGGTGAGTCAAAAATCCATTGGTGATTTTCTCAATCATTATAAGAGTTAGCAATGTGAAGTGTAGATTGAGCAAGTCCAAATATAAACAGTAATAATATTGTTTGCAATGGTTCTTTAAATTGAATAGTTATAATCACTTCAACAGGATACATATTGTCATTAAAATTATTCTATCCTCTTAAGAGAATTAGAAATTTGAGATAGAATTGTTTTCAACCGAGATATTAACTTTAATCACATTCTATCAGTTTTGCATACTTATAATGATAATTATTTTCAAATCTAACATCGAGAAACATGAACCTACTTGAGTCGAGAAACATGAACCTACTTGATAATTTTACTTTCTTATAATGATAATCATTTTCAAAAAAAAAAAAAAATGCTAACAAAGTAAAAGTGCAGCTTCCCAAACCGGAACAGATGGAACATTCATATCAGCGGAGGGCCCAAACCGCAAAACCGCCGACCCATTTGACATCGGAGGCGGGCACGTCAAGCCCAGCAGAGCAATGGATCCAGGCCTCATTTACAACATCACCACAGATGACTACATCCAATACCTTTGCTCCTTGGGCTACAGAATCCAATCCATCGCTCGTTTGACCGACACACAGATCACCTGCTCCCCCAGAAAACGACCTGTCGTATCAAATCTCAACCTCCCTTCTATTACAATCCCAAACCTCAAAACGACAACATCAGTGACCGTGACAAGAACGGTGACCAACGTGGGAGATTCTGATTCGGTGTACAGTGCCCTTGTGCGAGCCCCATCTGGGGTGGAAATGCGCGTTGAGCCACAAGTTTTGGACTTCAATAATACGACGACACGGGTTCTGTCGTTTAAGGTTACCTTCTCCTCGGGTCAAAGAGTGCATGGGGATTACAAGTTTGGGAGCTTAACGTGGACAGATGGTAAGCATCGTGTGAGGAGTCCTGTGGCCGTACGTGTCATTAGATTTGAGTCGTATGCAGATGTATGAGATATGGTGAACGTATTTTTGTGGTATATATAGAGTGTGTATTTTTTTAATTTAGAGTTTGTGTATTAATTCTCCTTAGGTATGAGAAAAAAAATACAAATAAAAACTACGTACGACATGATTTGCTGTTTAGAGATGTAATCACGATCACGTTCAAGAAATGGAATAAAAATATTTAAAGCTTTGTCTTTGTTAACTTTTTCTTTTTATTTATATATTGTGGTTTACAATAACAGTGGGTTTTACCTTAATTTGGTGGCGTGTTTGTCATGTTTTTATAGCGTTATGTTGTGTTTCTAATATATATACTAGGCTTGTTTCTTAGCAGCATTTTGAGTGTCTTTCAGATTTTTCAATCAATTGTGAAGATTTTATTAAAGAGTTATATGTGTGCTTGATTATTTGTGTAACTATTTGGGTATTTGTTTTTGAAATTTGGTCTAAGTCTACTTTTTTGAGCGTTTCATTTTAGTTTATTGGTGGAATTAATGCCATATTCACTTTATTGATTCGAGTTTAGAATTTGAATTTTGTTACAGTAAAAGCTCTAAAAAATAGTTACATCTAACTTTTTAACTAAACTAAAAAGCTCTCATATAAAGTCACATCTTAACTCAAATTAAAAACTCGAATCAACGAACTAAACGGACCTTAACTACCTATAAAGATTGTGATTTCTTGTACTTTGGAGGCCATAGGAATCATCATTGGTGTTGTGTATTTCCTTAATTCAAAACATATTCCCCTTTAAAAAAAAAAAGTGACAAGCACCTAATATCAACAGGGAGGGGTAGATGAGTGATGAGCACCTAAATATGATTAGAGTGGTTTTGTTGGCACACTCATCTCAACTCTCTACACGTCCATCCTATATACACACCACATATAACTCCAAAAAGATTAGTTTTAGGATTAACGTCGCATATGCTCTCCCAATTTTAAAGTTAATTCCACGTTGCCTATCGAACTATAAAAATTTCGCACTTTATATTTATCTTTTGAATTTGTCTCATTTAACGACTTATGGTAAAATCTCCATTTAAAACTCATAAAAAAAGAGACCTGGTTCACTTTAACTCTTTTTATTAGAATTTATATTGAAAACAAATAGAAAAAGATCACTTGACCTCATTTAACTTTTTTTTTCTATATGTTTTTAACATAAGTTCTAATAAGAAGGGTTAAGTGGGACTAATATATAAAACTCACAGAGTAGAGTAGAAGTTTTAAAATTTATAGAGTTAAATGAAAATCACTTTAAAGTACTCATAAATGATTCCTATTATGCAAACTGCAAATGAATAGAGTAGAATGAAAACCAAAAATATTCTTTCTTTTTAAGAAATGAGATAAATAACTTTTTAGAATGCACGAATCTAAATTTTTATCTCTTGATTAATATTTTTTTAATTAAATAATTATATCAATTAAAAGAATATTAATAAAAAATAAAAGTTAAAAATCAAGATCAATGCACTTTTAAGAGTGACTTTTAGTAATTATTTAAAAGAAAAGAACAAAGTGAAAGGATTTTTCTATGATTGACACTTCAAATTTGTAGGATATCATACGGATGGATTGCAGTTTCCATTAGATGCAAGGATGGCTTAAAAAATCAAAATTAAAAAAAAAAAAAAAAAAAAAAAAAAAAAAAGGTATTTTGCCTTTTCAAAAAAAAAAAAAAAAGAAATATGGAAAAAGAAGCCAAAGGAATTTTCTATTATTGACCCGTGAAAAAAAGTAAAATTATTATGTTGTCGGGTTCGAACTCAAATACCATAATTTAAGACTCATTTATTTATTGCGTTAAAATTCATAATTTTAATTTTATCATAATATTTTTTTCTTATAAAAAATTTAAAATTTAAATATTAAAATAAAAAATCATTAATTTAAACGAATTAACCATGCTCTTACTATTAACCAAAGTACTAGAGTAAATTTTGACAACAAAGGTGAGCTTTGAAAATATATATCATAAAATACAGAGGAATAGAATATCACCAAGCCGACACGCGCTATTACCTGTAATCTCATTTATATTAAAATGATAATATAAATATTACAAGAGAATGTGAACGATTTTGTAATACATGACATAACCTTTGATTGAGATTAGTTTCACTAACACAATCTAATAATGCTTAATATGTGTTAGAGGCTTGATTTTTAAATGTATCTTGACATACTAAGAATGAGTTTTTTACTGTAGTAAAACTCAAATTAGTAAAATAAACGAAGTCTCAATAAGTAAGAGTCGAGACAAAAAAAGAATAAGACTTTTTTGGTTTTTAATTTTTTTTTCTTGAAAAGTTTTGGGTTTTAAATTCTGTTTTATTTTTTTAATATTAAATTATGTTTATAAGATTTTAATTAGACTTTAATAAATTTAATTAACTTTTTAATGACACATCATGTCAGCAAACTGTTAAAATTATACATAAAAATTAGCAGATATGGCGTTTTGAATCGCTTTATATGAATGAGATGGTGTTTTGTACTGTTTTAAAAAATTAAGAGCAATTTAAAATAAGATACATAATTTATAAATATTTATGAAAATAATTCAAAAAAAAAAAAAATACAACCACATATGTATTCATATCAACGGAAAAGCACCGCGGATCCTCCTTACGTTCTCATCCTTGATTTTATCCGTCCGATGCACTAGTATCAACGGTGGATCCCAACTTACCTCCTCACGCGGATCGACCATGTTAACCATCGATAAAAATCCATCCAACGGCCAATACGAAAAAATGGCAAAAACCGGCTCCATTCCCAACACCGCGCCTTTGTTAAAAGCAAAAACAAACCAAAGAGAACGAAAAGTCACGCCTATATAAACCGAATCCCGTTCCTTGAATTCTCCATCCAACGTCCAAAACACTTGTTTGGTCGCCGAGAAAGTCTCCGCGAAAAAGAAAGAAGTGATGTCGGGAAGAGGAAAGGGAGGGAAAGGGCTGGGAAAGGGCGGAGCCAAGAGGCACAGGAAGGTCCTGAGAGACAACATCCAGGGCATCACGAAGCCTGCAATTCGCAGGCTCGCTCGCAGAGGAGGCGTGAAGCGAATCAGCGGTCTAATCTACGAGGAAACCAGAGGAGTTCTGAAGATTTTCCTGGAAAATGTCATCCGCGACGCCGTCACTTACACGGAGCACGCCAGGAGGAAGACCGTGACCGCCATGGACGTCGTTTATGCTCTGAAAAGGCAGGGCCGTACTCTCTACGGCTTCGGCGGTTAAGCACCCAAATCTGTACAAGTTAGGGTTTTTTAGGTCTATGCTTATTCTTCCTCTTTTGTACTCTCTGGTTCATGGATTATGAAATTTGGAGTTCTGTGTATCTGATGTGATTCGTACTTGTTTGCAATTTATGGATTGAATCGTACAAGAAGATGGAATTGTTAGATCTAGTGTTTTTTCGTTGTCTAAAGAAAATGCAGATGATATTTGAATATTAGCTTTATGTTGTTTTGGTAAAATTCTGTTTGGTTTTTGTTTCGTTTGATTCTGATGTGGTTTATTTTCAACCAAAAAGAAATCGTTCAAGACGATGAAAAATTTAGACCAAGATTTGAATCCAACTTTTCAATTTTCTTGCTCAAAATTTGGAGGCTAGAGTGGGATTTCTACCAAACAGATTAAGTAATAACACAATGACAAATCTTTATCTTTCTGGGATTTTAATTTCAGCTGTATGTATTAAGAAAGTGAGCCAATTTCGAAGATTGAAGATTTTGTTTAATTTGGGGCTTTTGAATTTGGATTGGAAGTGAGTTAGAAATAGGAGAAATTTGCTCTTCAGAATGATTGGTGCGGCTTTTTTTTTTTTATCAGTACCGCCATAGTCAATTTGGAATTATTCAGAGTGGCAACAGAAAGGTTTGGGAACTGAAATCTCATGGGAGAGACAATTGACGTGTGAATGATATAAAATGTTCAATTAGAAGGCCCAAAGATTTTAGAAGTTCAACTGTTTGCCAAAGTGCTTATTTTGATATTGAAAGTGTGTTCATTATGGTTGGCACTTTGGTTCTTTTAGGTTAGTTGATTTAAGTTTTTAATTTGAGTTGATGTGTGATTTTATGTGAGTTTTTTATTGTAATAAAAAAATTAGATATAATTATTTTTGAGAGTTTTTTACTATAGTAAAATTTAAATTTTAAATTCGAATCGGTGAAATAAACTGGACTTTAATTATTTAGAAGTGTTAAAAATAAAATTTAAATTACTTAAAAGATATTTGGTAAAGGGATTCGTATTCTGATTTGAATTATGATTCATAGTTTATTACAGTGTTTTTTCTCACAAAAAATACATGTAAATAAAAAATAATTTTAATATCATAATTTTAATTTATAAATTAAGGAGATGTTTGGTTTATAGATTAGAATAATTTTTAATTTATGTGTATTTTTTATGAGAGAAAATACTGTAGCGAATTACGAATTATGATTCAAATTAAAAAACGAATCTATGTACCAAACATCCCCTAAACGTCTTAAGTGTATCCATTCCACGGTAATGTTTAGTGCTAATTCAATGAAAGATTATTATTAAAAAAAACAAAAAAGAACTCCAAATATTCAGAGAAAAACAGCAAATTATTTTGGTTTTGAGCATTCAAACCCCCGAACTTTCACTAAAAACTAGACGGTAAGGAGTCATATGATTTTTACTATGACTGAGCAATGCTGCAATAATTGGAAATGGGAATGAGATTAGGTTAATAACCAATTGGCGAATAAAAGAGTTCTCTTCTTTTAAGAGGAGATTAAAAAGTTCTTTTAATCTAATGGTTGATGACAAGTTGGTTCTTGATCGTTTAAATTTTACCAATTAATTCTCCGTACTCTTAAAAAACATTATCACGATAGTAAAGTTGAAATCAACTTTCTAATTGTTACGGGGAAAGTGCATGTGTATCACTATTAATGCATAATTAGGAATATCAAAATGGCTTGAACACAACTATTTTAAACCTTTTGTAACTGCACTATTTTTTTTTTTTTTGGATATAGGTGTGTTTAGTATCTTTTATAGTTTTGAATAGGAGTGTTCGGCGGTTAAAAACCGTCGGTTTTGGTTGGTTCGGTGGTCGAACCGACTATGTCTGTTTTTTGAAAGTGGGCACCGAAACCGAACCGCATGCAGCATTATTCGGTTTGGTTAACCGAATTTCAGTTCGGTTTCGGTCGATTTTTCAGTTTTGGTAATCAAGAATGTGACCTTAGTTAACTATTAGGTTACCAACATATTTAGTTGCATTTTTTTACTAGAAAATACGAAAAAATGTAAAACTTTCCTTCAATGCAAACATGTAATCACAATAAATGAATACAAAGCACAACATCTAAATTGATAATTGCACAAACACAAAATATCAAAATCTAAAGTCCAAAATCCAAAGAAGTCCAAAGCATAATTAAAAAGTTCAACTTTAAATAGTGAAGTTCATTTCCAACTTCTCATAAACCTCCTATTCCCCTTCATCTTCATCCGAATCCAAATCCATTATATCATCATATGTATCACTACAACAGAAAATTAGAATTAAGTAAATGAAATTGAATATATGATGGGAAAAAAAGAATAAATAGATATAATTCTAATTATCTTACTTGGGTCTTTTAGAAGATTATGCATCATTTACTTGAGCACTTTCATCCTTTGAACATGTTGGAGTAAAAACAACCTCATCATCATCTACAAGAAAATTATAAATTAATTTACCTAATATATGAAATGCCTAAAAAAGATATAATTATAAATATGTGTAGTATGTACAATTATGATTAGTATTACCTGAGACAACATGATAGCAATCTACAAAAGGTGGAGGAGGAGCCCGATCATGATATTCCTTATACAATCTACACAATGTGTCCTCAATCCCGCTTAACAACGTGTCAGATGTCAAATCATCGTAAATACACTTGAAGGGAAGAGCAAGATAATCCAACTTATATCTTGGATCAAGAACCAAGCCAAGAAACATCACGTGATTCATTTTCTCGACATTTTCCCAATACTTATCAAATTTCTTATTCATCATCGTTGCCATTTCATTCAAGAGAGGATGATCACACTCCTCTAACTTAATCAATTCTCGTTTGACAGCTTCTTCAACTGCTTCTTCTCCTCCAAAAACATCTGATAAACATCCCTCGCAATTGTTATCCTTGAAATGTCAAACTCTAGGATTCAAGTATGCCGAATAGCGCTTAAACCCTTTACCTTCTACGTGTCGGAATGGTAACTCATCCAATACGATATACTCCAAAACAGCTCTCTTATAACCCTCCTTGGACCAAGCTCTTAGTGTCATATTACTAGTAGCAGTGTCCTCCTCATGTGCGCTGGTCTTCCTACTAAATTGGATGGTCTTTTGTTTGTTTTCATTCTCCGGATTCATCAAGCAACTTTCTATATGACTCGTCATTGTAGGCGTGTCATTCTTTTTCGAATCAACGGCATAAGTGACACCACAATGCATGCAAGTAGCCCTCTTAGTTTTTTCGTCCCTCGTGAAATGCTGCCAAACCGGGCTTACTTGTCGGGTTAGTACATTTTCCTTCTTCCTCAGTTGTCTCTTGTCTTTAAGTAGTTTTGGTTTCTCTTTGATTAGATTGAGACTCTACCTCTTTTTAATTTTCCGATAAAGACATCTATAAGAATTAAGAAGCTAAACCATTCCAAGATCCAATTTAAAACTATTTCAAGACATCGATGAGACAGGCTAATTAACAAACGGGATTTAAAGATCACAAATATAGAATGCCACAACCCGAACAAGTCAAGTTTTATATTCAAGTTCAACATTGAAAAGTGTACAAATAGAGCATAATAATTTCTTGTATATTTTCAATTTGTACATAAATTAACAACCTTATATCAAGTCTTCAGCCCTATCAACAATGAAAAAGTCAACAAAGTAAAGGCCCACGTATATCTTCGATTATGGATATACTTTGTGAGCTGTATGCCTGCACCTACTATTTAATTTTCTGATGAAGACATCTATAAGAATTAAGAAGCCAAATCATTCCAAGATCCAATTTAAAATCATTTCAAGACATCGATGAGACATGCTAATTAATAAACGGGATTTAAAGATCACAAATATAGAATGCCACGACCCGAACAAATCAAGTTTTATATTCAAGTTCAACATTAAAAAGTGTACAAATAGAGCATAATAATTCTTGTCTATTTTCAATTTGTACATAAATTAACAACCTTATATCAAGTCTTCAGCCCTATCAACAATGAAAAAGTCAACAAAGTAGAGGCCCACGTATATCTTCGATTATGGATATACTTTGTGAGCTGTATGCCTGCACCGCCTTGACACATTAGATTTTCATCAAGCCTGTAACTATGTTTACCAGTATTTTTTTTTTCATACTTTACTACATATACATAATTCTCCAATTAAAAATGAGTTCAAAAGTAATCCTTCACCGTGACGTACTAAGCATAATATTTAGTATAATTTAAGGACACAAGATCAACCTCAAAAACATCGGCACTAGGACATACTACATAGCATTCTCTTTATTGAAATACAACCTAGAGACGACTTAGGAAATCAACAACAACAATACATGAAACAAAAAATTTGCCAAGTTAAATCAACATAAAACAGATGGATCGGCCAAGCTTGATGCAAAAAGAAAGTGGAGAAACAGATTAGAAGAAAGCCAAACCTCTTTGTACGCTAATCAGCCTGATCCAAGGCTGGCAGCCGGCGGAGGGTAGTGGTGCGAGGAGGACTGAGGATTGAGGAGATAGCTTGGCGGAGGCGGGCGTGCGAGGAGGACTGAGGAGAGAGGCGGAGTGTGGCCGGCAGCTAGGGCTTCTTTCACCGTGAGACTGAGAGAGGCAGAGAGATCATAAATGAAATGAAGGAGAGACAAGAGACGAGAGTGAGACTGTGTCTTGTGACTCTTGTATGTGAGTGAGAGTTAAAAAAATGACAACATAAAATTAAAAAAAATGATAACATAAAATTAAAAAAAAAATTCTTCAGCTCGGTCGGTTCGGTTAAAAACTGAACCTCTAAAAATAAAACCGAAATCGAACCGCCATTAAGGCAGTTCGGTCGGTTAACCGCACCGATTGTATTCGGTTCCACATGGCACTGTCATTTTCGGTTTTTAAGCGGCCGGTTCTTCAGTCAGTTGCGGTCGGTTTCAGTTTTACGGTCCTAGTTTTGAAGGGGAAAATTTGCCACTTTAACATACTTTTTTTTATCTTACCATCAACAAATGAGGAGTTCGACTTGTAATTTTTAGGGGAAAAAAAGACAAAAAAAAAGACCTTGCACCATGTCAAAAAATAAAAGTGATAGAAAATCTTTCCACAAAAAAAAGAAAAAGAAAAAGAGCGCAATGAAGAGGAGCCTTCTGGAAATTAGAAGTTAAAAAGGAACAATTAGCAATGAAGACGAGTCTTGTGCAAATCAGAAACTAAATAGGAACTATGAGCCACCACAGTAGACATAATTTCCAATAGTTTGGAGAAAACACAAGTGGTGTTTGTAATATCCAATCAAAGTTGCCTCTCTCAAAAACTCTTACACAATTTTTTCCCCCCCTTCAACAAGCACACATTTGTCTCATAAATTTCCTCCACGGATTTGCTTCAAGATTTCCCTGCCATCTTTAGCCGGAAATAACATTGATCTGCACAGAGGACAAGTGACTTGGCCATGATCAACCCAACTATCAAGACATCCTCTGTGAAAAACATGGTCACAGTTGGACAGCTCTCTGACTTCATGGCTTCTCTCCAATAATTCCAAGCAAATACAACAAAACCATTCATAATTATCCACACCTTGCTGAAGTTGACCAAGTTCCGCAATTGGAAGCTTTCTCTTGATGTATGCCGTTAAAATGTGGAGAGGAACCGGCACTACGAAAGGTGAGCCACCGTCTATGTCCAGAAGATAATTCGGACGACTTTCTTCTTCTTCTTCTTCTTCTGCGGAACGATTTGTCTGTTCTGATAGATTTAGCAGACCCAGATGAGCTAGAAACGCTATGGTTAAGGACCTGAAGTGGTACAGAATGTTTGTCAAAATGTTCATGCTCTTCTTTTTGGTATGTTGAGAGTGGCCAGGCCGCCAACACAAAGCACTATGGTTGACTTAAAAAACAAAACAAAAAAATAGAGCTTCAAATTGAACCATTTTGCATATTATGGTTGGTAATTGGGCTTTTCTTTTCCCAAGAAAAAAGGGAATCATCACCAGAAAATTATAAGAATAACCATTATTTTTTACTATCATATTATTCATAGAAAATATTTAAATAGAACATGTCGAGCCTGTTTGGTTTATGGATTAGAACCATGTGATTAGAATTATTTTTAATTTACGTGTATTTTTTGTGAGAAAAAATACTGTAACGAACCACGAATCATGATTCGAATAAGAAAATGAATTCTTTTACCAAACGAGCTCGAAATGTATTCGGTAAAATAAAAAAATATCCTACTAGAAAAATTTTTTTTTTTTTGATAGGATATGAGAGATATTGTACTAGAAAATGATGTCATATATAATAAATTTAAAATTGATGGAAAAAATAAAATAGTATTATCTTTTGTATAACATTTTTAAAAATTTCTTAATCATTAGAGTTATCTTTTCCTATCCGAGCCGACATCAGTTTGAAAGTCATGGGGTCTATTAATAGAACGTTCTAATTCTACTCGAAGATTAAGTCTAATTTTCCACTACATAATTAATGCTGCACAATATATTAGTTAGTCGGGCAAGGATCTTAAAAGGAGGATGTGGAATATTGAATCTGTGCCACAGTTAGGAGAAGAGAAGGAAAAAAAAAAAAAAACATGATTTGCTGCTGCACCAACTTATTGTTAGTTAGTAGTTGAACTTGGTACAACTGGATAAGAAGTTGTAATTATGATTTAAAAATAGAAGTTCAACATGGGCTTGTGTTATATAATATTATACTTATAATATTATACGTTTAGCCGCCAACACAAAAAGATGTTACCTCAGCCGCCCCTCAATGGCCTTAACGTGACGCCAAATAACTCGATACCCTTTGGCGTACTTTGTTCTAGTTTGAAAAAACTAATAATAATAATAATAAAAAAATTGCCAAAGGAGACGGTAGTTATGATCGGTGTTTAAAAGAAGGGAAAAGTCACGGCAATTAGGCCATTTCTTGATCCCTTACCTCAACTTCATTCACGTGTTGTAACTCTCCGGATACAATTAGGCAATTAGGCCATTATTTGAAAGGTGCGTCTAGTATTGATTTTAAAATGATTTTATTTTTAATAAAAAGTAAAAATTAGATTATTTTGAGAATTATTCTGAGACCGATTTTAAAATTACGTTTAGTTAGTTTTTTAAGAGATTATTTTAAGTATAATAAAAAAATAAAATCGTGTTTATTATTTAATATATTATAATATTGTTGATAAATACTAAAAAATGAAAACATAAAAGTGAAAATAACTTTCAACTGTTTTCTAATTTTTTCACAAAAATTATTCTCACTGTTTTCATTTTCATTTTCATTTTCAAAATATTTACTAAACAAACGTCGTTTCGTTTTCATTTTTTACTTCTCAAAATACGTAAAAACCGTTTTTAACAACAGTTCTAAACACGCACTAAATTTTTGTTATATTTCTTATTTGTCGTCGTTTTTGCAAGATTACGCTCTTCCAGATTATGTCGTTTTCTTGAATTACTGTATTCTGAGTTGTCGTTTTTTCCGCGTGCATCAAAATTCTTGAATTAAAGTGGCTGTCGAAGATAACGTCGTTTCTTAATTATTTGTCGTTCTTCGGTCAAATAGTAGTCTTCATCAGATATGCCAATTTCATTTTAGAACTATGATGTCGTTTTCTTAGGTTTTATTTTATTTTAAACTTTTCAAATTTTTTGTTTTTGTTTTTTTGTTTTTTGTTTGTTTGTTTTTTGAAGTTATCGTTGATCGCATTTTTAATTTGTTGTCATCATTTTGTCAAGTTGTCGACTTTAGATTCCGTTGTTTTCTGAAGTGAATACTTTTTTTTTTTTTTTCATTTTTAAAAAAATACCCTTTTTATATTAGTATGGTTCTTATGATGATGCCATTTGAAGCAGCTGTCGTTGCAAAGTTACTGTTGTTTTCCGAAACATTGTTGCTTTGTGAAATTGTTGTCGTATTGTGACCATGTAGTTTATTCAAATGTTTATTTTCTGAATATTGTCGTTGTCGTGTTCTTATCTTATTCTTGGTTTTCAATTTAATACTGTTAGTCTCTAAATTATTCTGACCATGTAATTTAACATATGAGTTAAAATGACACAATGCTCGTGATTTAGGGACTAATAATGCTAATAATTTTATATTTTTTTGAAATGTTGTTCTTTTTGGTAGTTTGGTTCAAAAAGAAAAAGGAAAGAAAAGAAAAGTGTTTCAGCGTTTTTTGGTTTGCTTTTGACAAGATAACATGTTCCCTTTCTTGATTTAAGCTCTTGAATCTGAAATCTTTTTATTAGAGAAATTTAGACATGTAATTAGAGGCCTACGCTCTCCAAAATGCATGAAATTTGAACTTTTATTTCACTACAATATCAACATCTAGACAAAAGATTTTAACCACAATTTAAAACTTCTAATTACAGTAATACTCTTATAAAATTTGAATTTCTATTCGAATTTTCAATTCAAATCTATGAGTCAAATGAAAAAAAAAAAATCATCTACCTTTAAACGTAGTGGCGTGTTCGATAGTCGAAATAAGAGATAAGAATGTATTATCTTAGTCTTACATTAGTGTCAACCAAATAATTAATCAAAACTCAAAAGAATCAGGAAACTCACTTGGATAAGTAATCCTTTTAAAATAGATCATGATGATCACAAATCGCAAGCGACAATGATTGAGCGAGCCACTTCTCAAAGAATTTTTCCTCTTTATTGTATATCCCAAATAAATAAACTTGACAAGCTTTAATGTATACAGTAACTTTATCAAATTCTCAACTTACAAAAAAACAATATAACTTATCCAATCTACTGCTACACCAAATAGAGTAATATTATCCAATCCAACCCTAATAATACTTCTATTAAAAACACATAACACATTCCAATCAATCCAATCCGATCCTAATAGTAATTCTCCCAGATATCGTAAGCCAGAAGCCCAGAAAATACAAGTGGAAAGAAATCATCCCACGTTACCTCTCTTTATGAACTTCAACTTACATACAAATTTTTTTTTTCCCCAATAATTTCCTATGATGATTTGGATTGTGCATGGATTTCCTTCAAGATCTCCCTTCCTTCTTCAGCCGGAAACAACATGGATCTGCACAAAGGACACGTGACTTGACCCTCATCGACCCAACAATCGAGACACTCCTTATGAAAAACATGATCGCAATTGAAGAGCTTTCTGACCTCATCTCTTCTCTCCAAACACTCCAAGCAAATCGTACAATATTTCACCACTAATTTATCCTCCATGACTTCTTGTTGATGATCAAGTTGGCCAAATTCTAGAATTGGAAGCTTTTTCTTGATATGAGACGTTATAACATGCATAGGAACTGGGACTACAAAAGGAGACTCGTCATCTAGGACTAGAAGATAGTTTAGACGTTGATCATGAGCTTCTTCTTCTCCTTCTTCTATAGAGTCATGCATTGTTTGTTCAGAAGGATTGGATGTGAGTTGACCAAGATGAACAAGTAATGATGTAGTTATGGATTTGAAGTGGTGTAGAAGATTTATGAAAAAAAACACTATGCATTTTGGCAAGAGAAAGGAGTGAAATCCCATGTAGAGAGAGAAGAGGATATATATATATATATATATATATAGACACACACAAACAAATGTATGATTTGGATTAAGTCAGGGTGAGAGTACTCCTTTTAGGTAAGTAATGTTCTTCGGGATTAAGTTTATGAGCTCATTCCACCTTCTTTCCTGCTTCTAAATCTCATCTTAAAAATCAAAAGAAGAAAAAAGTAAAAAAAAAAAAAGTGAAGATTAGATAGAATATTGGTACTCCTGCTCTCCTACCCACCCACATCCTATTCGTGGCGTTTCAGATGAAACCCGTCCCTCTTGAAAAGTAATATGCAAAGCAGCTTTCTAACTTAGCGTGGGACATACACGTTGAATATGGCTAATGACCACATTAAAATTAAAATAAAAAGTATTGAAAACTATAATAAAACTTTATATAAATGTGAAAATAAACCGTACCGTTACGATATATTGTCCTACCCTATCGTAAAGCTCTCCTCTTTATAATCTTGTACTGTTGTATACTATATGTTATGCTAGACTTGATTATTGCCCTTATAGGAAAAAAAGAAAAAAGAAAAAAAGAACTCCTAGTCAAATTGTTTGGAGTACTTGAACCTAGGACGTGTTAAACTGACAGTGATACCAATGATTGTGAATCCATTAGGTAGGACTCACTTGAAAATTGACTTGTATGGAGGGTGGAAAGTTTTAAATTTATTAAGGGTCTGTTTAGTTTGTTGATTCGAGTTAAAATGTGATTATATAAGAACTTTTTATTTTAATAAAAAGTCAGATGTGACTGTTTCTAAAAGCTTTTTACTGTAATAAAACTCGAATCGGTAAAATAAACGGGACTTAATTATCTTATTCTTAGTACATTGTGAGACTTTTTTGGTGCGAAACAACTATTTTTTGCAATTAGAAAGAAAAATGTTTTGCAACATCGCCCCAGCTTATTATCAGTCCCACAAAAGAAAAACCCAGCTCACCAGTGCCTCACAGTACATGGATCCTGCGCCGACCTGCACTCTCTCTTTTTTTTTTTTTTTTAAATGATATGGACTCTTTTTCATGGTTTTGGTTAGCTTTTTCAAATTTTTGGTGGATATCCGAACCATTTGTTATAGTGTTGAACTTTATGTTTATTGTAATATCTATATATGCATGTTTCCAGTCTTTATATAACTTAAAACATTATCACAAAAATAAAAAAAAAATATTTCAAGTAAACAAACCACCAAAAAAGCTTCAAAAATTCACCTGAGCTATTTTTATTTTGGGTAATTTTTAAAAATACCCTTTGAAATAGAGTCCTTTTTATTTCTACCCCTTAATACATTAGCTCATATATTTCTATCTTTTAGACTAGAACTAGTTATGGAGTAGAGTTTTTTAAAAGGAGTATTTTTAATAAGTCATATAATTAGTTTATTTATAAGATTAGGCAGAGTATTTTTTTTTTAATTTTCTTATGATTAGGGAAAATAAAATCTAATGATCAGAGTTTTGTGTAGAAGAAATTCAATGGTAAAATATTGCAAGGCGTCAAGAAATCTTTATGTGCTTCATTTTGCAACCAAAATTTTAATTCATAAGATTCATAAAAGGAATTTGAATAGATTAAACTCACGTTGATTCTGCTAAGATTATAATAACTTGTTTATTGTGAAACACTCGAATTGGAGTGTATTACAATAAATTGAATTTTATTGAACTATTTTATGTATTATGGGATGTTTATTTTAATTTTATAATTAATTTTATAGTAAATTTTTTAGGATAGTGCAAAAATAGGTTACAAGAGTCTTAATGCAAAGGCCTAAATCATTAGCCTAGTTTGCAACTCTACAATATTTGATGTTTTTGTATTGGATTGGATTAGGTTGGGAGACTTTTGAATTGATAATGGATTGAGATTTTATCAATCCGAAGTAGGTTACAAGAGTCTTAATGCAAAGGCCTAATTCATAAGCCTAGTCAACTCTACAATATTTGATGTTTTTGTATTGGATTGGATTAGGTTGGGGGACTTTTGGATTGATAATGGATTGAGATTTTGTCAATCCACTAGGTTGCAGTATGTTTCCTAATTTGTGAAACTCAATTCATGGACACCTCTAATAAAGACTTTTCTTTAAATTGAAAAGACGATCTGGTCCGATCATATTATTATCGGTTTGAAGCCGAACCAGACCGTGTACAACCTTACTAGACTCGACCTTGTTACACAAGAATGATCAATTAGAACTCTTTAATAAGAAAACATATTCTGTCTAAAGAAGCAATAAAGAAAAATCTTTGGCAATTAGAAACTAATAGGAGTTTTGAACTAGCTATTATAGGTCCACACTGCAAATTGGTAGGGCAAAAATGTCGGTGGTAGCCAAAGTTGTCATCTTAATTTACGGAATATATTGCTCAAAGATGCTTTATGGAGGATGAATAATTAAAAGATTGATATAGCAAAGATCTTTAAATTCTATTGAAGATGGAGTTTGTTCCTTTGCAGATGTGAATAAAGTCATTCACGAACAGTCTTCTTCTTCTTCTTCTTCCATTTTTTTTAATATTTTTTTTAAATTTTTAATGAAAAAGCTTTTCAATTCACAAACAGTCTTGGCTTTTTGTATGAATGAAGATTTTTATTTATTAGGGAAAAGTCCTACTATTGTGTTTTTTCTTATAGAAAGTCTCGAGAACATTGTTATCTTTAGGAAAGTTCGTTTGTTTTTCCCTTAAAAGAGAAATAAAGAAAAAAATAAAGTAAGAAAAAAATAAAGTTGTATATAGTTATGTTAAAAAGAAGGTTGTAATAACTTTTTTGCTACATTTTCTTCCCTTATAGACCCCACTTTATCCCTGATATTCTTTAAAAGAAAAACATTTCCAAACTGGCAAACCGTAACAAATAACCATATGTGTGTTTTTCAAGAAGAGGGTGTTTGATGGTCAGTTTGATAGATTTAAAGAGAAAGTCATCGGCCAAATTTAAATTAAAAAAAATAGTTTTGATAGATTTCAGATTTTTAGGAAAATCAAATCACATGTAATTGATTTGGTTAGTTTATTTAGTTGGTTTGGCTTTGAGCTTTATAATATGTATACAATTTGAGTTGATAGTGTAAATTTATTATTACTATTATTCTGTTTTAGTATATCTTTTAGTTTTAACCTTTTTGTATTCCCATTTGTATCCCGAATTTTACATTCAATCTACTTTTGATTTTAAAAACTCTCACTTTTCTAATTTAGACGTTGAATTAGCGTCACTTAAACTGTTTTATTAGAATCTTATTAAAATCAAACGGTATAACTGAAAAAGTTTCAAAGTTGAAATTTTGTGAAATTCAACATCCCAAAGCTCTACTATTCTTTAATTAAATCTATACATTCAGAGTTGCTTATGATGGGATTGTTGTTAAATCTATATTAAGCCTATTTGTTTGGATAGAGTGTTGTTAAATCTATATTAAACCTAGTTGTCTGGATATATTTTATGTCTTTCTAATGGAGATTTTAAAAGAGATGATTAAGTGAGACTAAATTTAAAGTTTGGGGTGAAGATAGAGCTTTAAAGATCAAAAGTAAAGTAGGAATAAATATAAAGTATAAATGAAAATAATCCTTTTGGTTTGACTTTGAGTTTATGAGTCACAATTGTTACCTTTCTTACAGCATCAAGATCATGTAAGTTTAAATCTTTTAATTAAGATAGTATAACATTATTAGAGGACATGAAAAAAAGACACGAAAAAATATTTAGTGTCTGTTTGGTTGATGCATTTAAATTTATAATTTTAATTATGTTACAGTGTTTTCCTCTCACAAAAAATTTGAATAAAAAAAATTATTGTTAATAGTTCTCTCATAAAATTCTTACAAATTGAATCAAAATCAATGACTTGAACGCAATTCAGCTCAAAGATAATGTCGTTTTCACGGACGATATGCTTTAAATACATTGTCGTTTTTTGACGTTCACATTCACATGTTCCGCTTCTTGATTTGGGCTCTCGGGTTACTAGGCCTGTAAAACCTTTAGCCCAATATTAAACGCACCGTATCATGAGAGAACAAAAAAACAAACCGATCATTTGAAGAAGTGGAAAAGATTGAAGGACGTCGTACCATCATCCTTGGGGGGTTTTATCCAGAGCTCTGAGCTAAAAGCTTCAACCTTCAACAATGGCGTCCTCTCTCTGCACTTACCACAATAACATCATTCCCTCTCACGCTTCCACAAAGAACAAGACCAATTCAATTCACAGCAATGTCAAGAATCTCTCATCTTCTCTCTTCGGTTCGTGTCAATCCATCGGCAGTTTCTCGTCGACCTCCGAAAACTCCCTCAGATTCCTTCAATCCAAACAGCCTCATCCGTTTCTCTCGCCCAGACGTCTCACCGTCGTCGCCATGGCTCCGCCCAAGGCCAAGCCCGGCGGCAAAGCCAAAAAAGGTGTCTATAAATATATATATCGATATATATATATATATATATATATATATATATGCAAGTCGTATTTCTCGTTTTGACATTTTATCGAACATTTGGCATGCGTTTTTGCAGTGGTTGGAATGATAAAGCTGGCGCTTGAGGCTGGAAAGGCGACTCCGGCGCCGCCAGTGGGGCCGGCGCTGGGTTCTAAGGGAGTTAATATAATGGCTTTCTGTAAGGACTACAATGCCAGAACCGCCGATAAGGCAGGTTATGTTATTCCCGTGGAAATCACCGTCTACGATGTGAGTTTCCCTTGTTCTATTTCACATTTCTTATATTCTGTATCTAGTTTTAATTTTTAATTTGCTTGAGTTTCTCTTTCAGGATAAAAGTTTTACTTTCATTCTGAAGACTCCCCCGGCTTCGGTTCTGCTTCTTAAAGCTGCTGGTGAGCTATTTTGACAAAATTCTTGTTTTCAGTTGAAGCTTAAAATATAGAAGATTGTATCAATGTAACAGTTTGTGGTTTTGGTGTTTGTGTCATGGCTCTCTTGATCATGTGCTTTAATTGTGGATTATAGTATAAAGTGCTGAATTTTTGTGTCAAATGATTCGACATAAGATTTTATCAACTTGTTGGTTTTATATGTGGGTGTTCGTGACATGGCCCTCTTGGTATTTCAACTATGGAATCTAGTACTGAGCATACAACTTTGTGCTGAATAATGATATGCTTCCCAACTTTTTTAAGCCAATCATGTGTTATTGATCGTGTAATTCAAGATGATAAATGTTTTTAAAGTCCGTAGAAGGTTGTATGTTACTAACTGATGTAGGGAGATTTAACAATTAGTAGACGTTTTTATATTTTCATCGTGGTTTGTTTTAGCTTGCTAATTTAGCATCGTTTGTTTTAGTGATGTTTTTGTTATTTGTTTTCTAAGTGAGAGATAGCCACTTTAGCTATTGTAATAGTGGGACTTGAATAATTGAGAATTGAATACAAGAGTTGTGTTTTCTCTCTAATTTGGGGATTTCCTCCTTATGGGGTTGTTTTAGAACACGCACTTTGTTCGGATTAGGTCGGTAAAATCTTTTCCTTTCCATTCCGCTGCATCGCTAACTGAAGTATTATTTACTTGCCACATTAGTCTGTAAAAAAAGTCGGTACAAGAGTTGGGGTGTCAAAGGAGTGAAGTGTATCTTCTTTTGAGTGAAGTAATAGTTGATAAACTCATATTCTTGATCTTATGGCTGGAAGGAGGTGTAATACAGTGTAATGTTTAACGTTGTAGATTATTTACTTCTAGGTTTCTCATTAGGTATGGGATTATTTTATCTACCTATTCTGCTTATTGCAATGGAAGATTCTATCAGTTATTGTTGCTTCTGAAACGTTTCCGTTCGTTTTCCGGTCCATTTTGAGGTTAAACACAGTTTTGATCACTAGTTCAAGATATTTGTTGAGACCATTTTATAGTCATTGAAGATTGTTTGGACAAGTTGATGATGGTGGCAATAATACGAAACTCGAGATGAGATTTGGAATTGCTAGCTTACAATCACAAACCACCTAGAACTTAAAATGAACTAAAAAGGATGCACGTCCTACTTATGTTTATGTACAAAAATTTGCTTTTGACTATTTCAGCATACGTGTAAAAGATAAAAGTTTTTCCATTTCTGTTAAAATTAGGAAATTGTTAGTCTTGAACTAGTCCTTATTTGAGATCTTTACGGATAGCGGTTGATGGGATGCCTGGAATTTCTTTATATTATTATTGTTGGATTGTTATTCTAAAACTATGGTACGTATCAGTAGCATTTACATTAACTAGAACTGGTTTTTGTCCTGCCAATTAAGATCCACCTTACTTGTCTTCCTCCAATCTAGACCTGAATTCCATAGTATTGAATCAGTTGGGCAATCACATTCATACTTTGTGGTATGCAGGAGTGGAGAAAGGTTCGAAAGACCCAAAGATGGAGAAAGTGGGAAAGGTCACCATTGAGCAATTGCGAGCAATCGCCACCGAGAAGCTGCCCGACTTGAACTGCATAACCATTGAATCTGCAATGAGAATTATAGCAGGCACCGCAGCTAATATGGGAATCGACGTTGACCCTCCAGTTCTTGAACCCAAAAAGAAAGAAGTTCTCTAGTTTCCCAGTTCTTTTTTTTTTTTTTTTTTTTTTTTTTTTTTTTTTTTTTTTTTTCAAAATTTCAATTTGTATTTTTTCAACTGTATTAGAATCACCACAGTGAGTGCAAAGAAGACTGATAAAACTCAATTCCTAAATTGTAGCTGCTACATTTCTTTCCCTCTTGGGTGTAAATTTTTGCTTTCATAATTGATGGGTTTTTTGGACTTTAATCCTTATTCCACATTACAAGAATCATCACACCAAATTACTAAGAAAATAAGTTAGAATAAATACCCGTCTCCATTAGTGCAGTCTTATATCTCTAGTAGAATTCTCTAAGACAACGAACACGTTGAGTAATTGTCTTCCTAAGTCAAATTATCAGATTCTTGATTGGGTATTCTCTCTAGATGGGAAAGAGGAAAAACGACTGAATGATTTGACGTATTGGCGACCATGTAACGCCCTCCAGAATTAAACATGTTTAATTATGCTAAACTGTGAATTATTAGTGTGTTTAATTTAATTTTCACAATTAATCAATAGACTTTAAATTATTTTTAGTATTTATAATTTCACCTCAAAATTTTTTGAAAATACACTTAAATTTTAATGCATTTTCCATTTTTTTCCATTTTTTTTCTTTTATTTTCTTTTTCCTTTTTCTTTTTCTTTTTCTTTTTTTTTTCTTCTTTCTTCTCTGGTTCTCCCACGCCACCGGCGCCAACCTCCCTCTCTCTCTCTCTCTCTCTCTCTCTCTCTATTTTCTTCCACCACCGGCCACCTCTTTCTCCGGGCTTTCTCCTGCCGGCGTTCTCTCTCTCTCCCTTGCTCTCTCTCCCTCTCTCTCGGCAGTTTGGCCGAGAACCACAAAAAAAACGGAGAAATTGAGGGAGACAAAGCTCGAGCAACTGATTTGAGGTAAAACCCTTTAAAACCCACTCTTTGATTCGAATTTTAAGCTTGAGAAAGTTTGATTTTTGTTAGATTTGAATAATTTTGAGTTAGGGTTTGAATTTGAACAGTTGTCGTTGGAATCGAATGAAATTTGGGTTTTTTAGTTATTAGACTTGTTTAATTGATTGGAAACTGATTTTGATGGATTCTGGAGAATATATATTGAAATTGAACTTGAATTGCAGGTTTGGCATTTTTCCTATTTATGTCGGCATGCTGTCAAAATTTTTTTAAAAACTTGTTTTTAAACTGAAATTTAATAGGAAAACCAAACCTATGGATTGGATTTTAATTTTTTAAAGAACCCCCAAACTGAATTATAAAATCATTTGTGAAACTTGGATTTGAATCAAGGCACACTAATATGAAATAATTAAACATTATTGAACTTAATTCGTTTTAGGAATGAGAAATATTTTCTAAGATATTGCTTTTGTGATAAAGCTAGTGGAGAAGGTTAAGTATTAAAGCTTTAAGGAAAGCGGAGGCTAGGAGAACGGAAAGCTAACCCAGGTTTGACATCGGAGAGGTAGTATATTCTTGTCCATATCCTTGTTAGCCTCATTTTAAATGATTTTGGCCCATGAAAATGTTTTAGAACAAAACATGTTTAAAGAAAATGATTTCAAAGAAATAGCATGAAAATGATTTTAAGTTTTCCAATGATTTTAGAAATTAGATTTTAAAAAGTATTATTTCTTAAAATGAAATATTTTAAGGAATGATACAACGCATGGTGGCCTCAGAGATCGGGATGTAGGAATCGCATCCTTGGGGGCAGGTCTCGAAACTCGTACGGATCCACTTCTTGTTTAGTGGAACTATGGCTCTGCACTTTTCACTAGACAAACATTTTACCGTTTCTTATTTAGTGGTATGATGAGCTGCACACTTTCATTATATAGACATTTTCTACTATGTGAGTATTTCCTTTTCTAAAAAGGGATGACCGGTTCCGAGTGTATATCTTCAGACCGTGAGTACCTTTATTTTAAATGCTTTATAAAATTATATCCTACTGGGTCTTTCGCTCACTTTTCTTGTTTTCAAATATATTAAACCCCTCCAGGCGACGCAAGGAGTAGTGCGGAGTAGGTAGTTACTACCGATGACGTGGACTTAACCTCAGGAAGCGAAGAGTTGTATTTCCTCTTATCCTTTATCTCAAGGCATGTATAAAAGATTATGGATTGTAAACTTAAATATTGCTAGACTGTGGTTGATGTCACATTTACTTTTATTTATATTCATGTATGCTAAACACCTGTGGAAATTCCTGACTTGATACTAGGGACGTGGTTTTAAACTGGTTTGGTTGGAAATTCCACCACCTTTCTTGAAATTAAATTTCTCTTGAATGCAGGGGGCTTGTTTGGAAATACCTGGATGTTTTGGATTTAAAAAATTAAAATATTTACAACATTATTTGCTAATCACTCTCTTAAACAGGTTTAAGTTTCTAAACAAGCCTCCACGTCACTAACCCTGGTTTGGGGGCGTGACAAAACTTGGTATCAGAGCCCTTGGTTTAGAACCTTAGGGTTTGGAATTATGCATACATGAATGACATCAGGAAACCACTAAAACATTCTAGCTTTCTTTTCAGATTAAAGAATGCTGCCGCGCCGTATAAACCCTAACCCACCGGCGATGCCGAATGAGCAATTCATGGAAGCCATGTACGTAGCCTTCCAGGGGATGGCTACTAGAGCCCAAAATGAACGTTCTGCGGAGGACAGAAAACAGAGCTACTTCCGTGAGTACAAGCGTAGCTCAATTCCCGCATTCACTAGCGCGGGTGGGCCTCAAGAGGCCGAGTATTGGTTCGAATCGGTGTCTAAGCATCTAAGTACCATGGGAGTACCGGATGAGTATTGGGTGGAGTTCGCAGCTTTTAAGTTTGAAGGTCCTACATGTGCGTGGTGGAAGCATATCCGGTGAATGCATGATGTAGAGGGGATGACTTGGGAATAATTTGAAGCGCTCTTTAATGAGCAATTCTTTCCCCAAAGTTATCGAGATGAAAAGGCCATGGAATTCATGGGCCTATAACAAGGGGATATGACAGTGTGGGAATACAAAGCTAAGTTCAATGAGCTATCCCGTTTTGCTCTTTCCTTGATTGAATCAGAGCACATGAAGTGCCTAAAGTTCGAGAAAGGTCTTAAGGGTGTGATCTGAATATCAGTGGTAGCTTTAAGGCATCGAGTCTATAGTGACCTGGTTGCAGCAGCCATCTCTGTTGAACAAGAGCACATCGCCTTCCTCCATAATCGAGAAGCTTCAGGAAGAATTTCAGGAGGACCCCAAAGGAGTAACAGAAAAGGCCGTGATCAGGGGCAAGGTAGTGGGGGAGTGCCTAGTGGTAGTAGTGGCTCTTCGGGAAGTGGGAAGAGTGGACCCTATAGCTTCAAGTGCCACCATTATGGGGAGCTAGGGCATATAAAAAGGAACTGTCCTCTTAGGGGCCAACAGGTGAACCAACAAACCCAGCAATCACCGCAGAATCAAATGGGTATTGCTCCTAGTCAAGATAGACTTCCACAGTTCACGCCTTTCTATCAGCCCCAGTTGTCTGCCTAGATACCAATTCCTCCTGCACCGATCTTCCGTCCGCCGAACTACTCTTATTTCCGGCCACAGGCTCCCGTATCAGTACAGTCTACCCCACCGCAACAACAGTACAGGCTTGAAAACCAGAGACCTAACAACAATGAGAGAGGAAAAGGGAAAACATCGGGGCAGATGCATACCATGGCCGGGGGAAGTTCTGGAGCTCATGCCAGAAACCCAGTTGTTGAGGTATGGTACCTATCTCTCACTCTTTCGCACGAGTTTTGTTTGATAATGGTGCTACGTACTCTTTTGTTTCCACTTCTTTTGTGAAAGTTTTGGGTTTGAAACCTGATGACTTAGAGATTTCAATGTTTATAAGTTCTCCATTGGGATGTGTGGAGGTGACTAGCATATGTAGGTCGTGTGTGATCACGATTGGAAGTGAGAAATTAAAGACATATTTGATAATCCTTCCCATGAATCAGTTTGATGTAGTGCTTGGAATGGATTGGCTGTCAAGATATGGGGTGATTGTTGATTACCACCGTATGAGAGTTACCTTGACTACCGATTCTGGCACGATAGTAGCGTATCAGGGAGGTGTTAACTCGGTTACTGAAGAACGACTATTGAGGCATAGTGTCGGAGGACGGCAGAATTTAGCTTGTTTCTTATTCCTTTCGGCATTAGAGGGTGAATCCGGTATCACCGGGGAGGATGTTGAGGTCCCCGTGGTCGATGAATATGCAGATGCATTCCCTGATGAGTTGCCTGGTTTACCGCTTGACTGAGAGATCGAGTTTTGTATCGACTTACTTCCGAAAACGGCTCTGATTACTATTGCTACGTATCGAATGGCGCATGCGGAGATGAAAGAGCTAAGAAAACAACTCGGAGAGTTGGCAGAAAAAGGATTCATTAGAAACAACACTTCCCCATGGGGTGCACCTGTCTTGTTTGTGAAAAAGCATGACGGACCCCTTTGGTTGTGCATAGACTACCGACAATTGAATAGGGTTACCGTGAAGAACAAGTACCAATTACCGAGGATCGATGAGTTGTTCGATCAGCTGGGAGGATCACGGTATTACTCAAAAATTGACTTGAGATCTGGGTATCATCAATTGAAGATTAAGGAAGATGATATTCCAAAAACAGCTTTCAGAACTCGCTATGGGCATTATGAGTTCTTAGTAATGCCTTTTGGATTGATGAATGCTCCCGCCACTTTTATGGATTTGATGAATCTAGTCTTCCGCCCGTATTTAGACCAGTTTGTGATTCTTCATTGACCACATCCTGGTTTACTCAAAGACTTGGGAAGAGCATGAGCAACATCTGAGGATCCTTCTTCAAACTCTTCGAGAACACTAGCTTTATGCAAAGAAGGAGAAATGTGATTTTTGGTTGACAGAAGTCAAGTTCCTTGGACATGTTATATCTGGACAAGGAATTTCAGTGGATCCCGCAAAGATTGAAATGGTGCTACAATGTGAACGACCAAAGAATGTA